ATCCAAAGTCGGCGCAACCGTCCGATCCGGGGAGGGCCATGAAGATGACCCAATCCTGAATCGACGGTGTGACAAGGTCGGTTCTTGGGCGTCTCTAGCTGTAGCCAAGAGATGTCGTCAGACTGCCCGGATACCATCGTTGGAAAAGGCTTCAATCGTGAGGGCGGACTAGAGAAGTACCCAGATGATCAATAAGGTCCAGCTCGTAGACACCTTCCGAAGATCCTGCCAAGACGGTTCAAGCTCATCTGCGCCAAGCCCGTTGACCCAGTAGACGACGTCCCGCCCGCCTGAATCACCGGTGGAATTCGAGGACTGGTCCCTTACAACAGCCTACCGGTTCTTGACGGCCAACCCCCTTAAAGGTCAACTAGTTGTTGGAAACAACTTTTGAATGGAGCCGCGAGCTCAAGGGAGTGCCGTGAAGATGAACGAAATCCTGAATCGGATGCGAGTCTCTTTGCGTGCTCCGCTATATTCAATGTGTGGTACCACCTGTGTTGCATACTTCGCCCTCCCTCGGGTAGCTTGCCTCCAGCATGGGGCTCGTTCGATGGCATTCTTCATAAACTACCTCCCCACAGGCGCCTTAAGGTTTCTTTTATGCTTGCAAAAACGGCGTTTGGTAGACGACAGCGAGTCCTACCCATTTGGGGACGACTTGCCAACGCCGACAGGTATGCTCCTGCCGGGGATGAAGCAGGTTGATGTGACGGGGTTTGCAAGGAAGGCAAACCGAGATGCGACCAAGTGCATCGGCAGCCACAAATCGAACGTAACTATGCATGGATTATGCACGAGTGAAGCGGAAGGTTATAAGAGGGGTGGCAGGATCTCGCCGGGACTGGTTAAGAAGGCCTCTCGTCTGTATCGAACGAGGACCTGAGCGAGGGTGGCCATTTTGTTCTCATGTGTAAGAGTCTCGTTTTGTTTTGTCCATTGGGTAACAATGTCAGTATACAATGCTTTGATTTGGAAACGTCTGATGCTGAGAAGGCGGACGGTTTGTGTGAGTAGAATGTATATGATTTCGAAGGTTAGATAGAGGACGTTGATTAGGAATATCCATAGACTGGTGTCAGAGCGACTAGTATCGTATCCGTAGAGGAGTGTGGCCACTGCGCGGATGCAGACAGCGATGAGGAGCGCCATCCAGTCTGAAACCAGGAGCATATCGCACAGACGGACACCACGGATTACATTGGGTCCTATGAGTAGTTGGTGATGGTCGACAGGTGCGATATGATTTTTGCATACGAGGAACGAAAGAATCGACGAGGTTGAGATCCACCCACACTCGTCCGTCTTTGGCTCCGCATCTCGGCCCCGTCCACTACTTGCAAGTCGCCTAGCCACTCGACTATGCGGCTGTAACGCGTAATACATGAACTTCCGAGATAGAAATGCCGATTGCACAAAGAACAACCCCTGCATCAGACTCACCACCACTGGCACACCACATACTACGAATAATGTGGCGCCATCCAGACTCAAAGACCCGAATGGTCGCGCGCCAAAAATCGAATAGACCGCCTCATCAATGTCGAACACATTCAGCTTACGGAACGTCCAAATACTCCACCACAAACTGAAACTCCGCAACATGTACAAAGCAGAAGTAAACAACGAATCCAACACACTACAACAAAGAAACTTGGAACAGAAACACGTGGAAACACGTGTGCGTGGAAACACGTGTGCGTGGACTGGAATAGGCTGACTAGTAGAGGGCGCGGGTGCGCTTACTTGACCGTGCCCACGTGGGCCAGAAAGTTGACTGTGCCGGCGCTCAGAGCAAGGATGCTGAGCGCTGCCCAGGAGGAGTCATACGGGTCTCGCCAGAAGCGGAAGGTGATTACGCTGCAGTCCGCCTCGACGCAGTAAATGCTATCGGTAGTCCAAAAGGAGAGAATGCCCACCGCAGTAATCTGGCAGGCCCAGTGCACCAAGAGCCCCGCCGCCAGACGGGTAACTTTCCAGTACGGCAGAACCAGACCCGCGTCCAGGCGCTCGCCAATGCTGTGCCGACCGCCAGCAGTCGCACATTGCATGATCTTGACTATCACACGCTGCATCGACGCCGTCCGTACCGGGAAAAGCGGTTTGTTGATGCGGCTACAGTCCAATAGGTTCTTCTCGATTGCCTTCCAGTCGTTCTCCCGCAGCTGGTCGTCTGCGTAAAGCCGGTGCAAAACACTGGTCAGCACCGCGTCCGTAGCACCTAGGTGTTCTCCCACCCCACCCAGGTGGTCCCCCCCGCCTCCCAGTGCTTCTAGTCGCGGGTCGCCAAGACGAAGATCGTTTAGGCGGTTGAGGTCGGCACCGAGACCGAGGGCGTCTGAGGGTTTCGGGATTGTGTTTGCATTCCATTGGGGGCCGGAGCCGGAGGGCAGGTTGGTTCGTACCACATCGCTTTTGCCGGGGAAGTCTTCAGGGCGCGGCTGGTCGATGGCGGTGGCCGCACGGTAGGTGGTGTAGTTGAGTCGAAAGATGGAGAGCGGGATTGAGATGACATTTTTGAAGAGAAAGACCTGGAAGCCGTAGCCGTGTTTCCAGAAGAGGACACGAATAATGATCATGGGGACGTCGATAACGAGCACAGAGGTGAGGGCAACGAACTTGCGGGTGAGGTACACGTCCTTGCGCTCGACTGCTTCCACTTGTGCGGACTTGGACGGCGCCGTATCCGCTTCGAAGGAGCTGCTGGAGAAGGAAGGCAGCGACAGCGAGTGGCAGAGGATTCCCAGCGCCATGACCACTCCGTTAGCGGTCTCCAGGCGCGGGTGACGGCCGCGGAAGTCATAAATTAACGTGGAAAACCTGAACGCTGTACAGCAGTCGACTAGATCCAAAATGACATGCAGCGCAATATCACAGTAAATCAGAGACTCAATCGTGACCTTGTAATTTGAGTACTCAAACACTTCCTTCGACCCCCTCCCCACCCAGAACGCAAATAAGAGTGGTGCGAGATAGACCATAATGCAGAACGCGTAGGACTTCGCCAACACCATAACCTCTGCACTCACGTCGTAACCGATACCACCCAGTGCACTATAGTAGGTAAGGTTTTGCTCCAAACGACCTTCAAACACAACAAAGTAAAAGATGCATAACTTGACGGTAAATGAAACCGTATATAACATCCACTCCAACACTCCCCTCGTCGCCGGAGCCGTCTCGTGAAATCCTCGCAACAGATGCAAACAGATTATCGCATCCATTACCACAAATAGCCATCCATACCAACCAGTCAAATCTACCACAGTTACGTTCACTTGCTAACGGCGTACCTAGTAATAGAAAATCCAAGACCGCCGCCTGTAAGGCAAACACGAGAATGTGGATCGACATCAAGAACATTTTGCCACTCCTCTCATCAAAATGTAGCCACCGAAATGTTTACTTCATTAAATAACCCCTCCCCCTTTCCTCACCGACCAAGCCAACCTAACCTAAAAATTCACAACCCGCTACTTGGCCAGAAAAGGTTCCCGGAATGCAACATGGTCCAACTGGCGGCAACACGGTTTTGATTAGGCCATTCAGCAGACAATGTCACGACCAGACGACCGGTGAACTACTCTGCCGTCGTCCGCAAGCATCGGCTCAGGACGCTGTGCACACCTTCTTCTAGCTAGAGGTTATTGGTCCTTTCCTCCTCTCCTTTGGTACACCGGTTCGTCTTCACCTGTTGTTTTTGAATCCGCACAACCCGGACCTACTCCGGCACAGTCATTCGCGCGGTCATATCCATCGACCCCAGCTTACTATCACCCCCCAGTTACTAACTCCGGGCAATTGTGGAAATTGAATTTATTGCTGGCACACTCTCTCACATACCACGAACAAGACATCCTCACAACGTTGGGATGCAAGCGGTAGTTCCAGATCAAGAGAGAGCCAGCTATAGAGTGTAGCCACGTCTGTCCATAAGGTTCCCGGTGAACGAAAACGAGACGAACATTGTAACCGTAGCGCAGATGAAAAAAAACAAATTTCGCGAGCATGAGGACAGCAAGAGGGCGTGGTTTGAAATGTGGTGAAAGCCTGTTGGCTTTGTTGATTGACAGCACAGGTAGCATGTCTAGTATCGATGGGTGTGAGATTATCCACATGAAGTGTTCGGTAGGAGAGGGGTGGAGTCCTCGGCGGGACGATGCGTATGTGGATTTGTTGGCGGCAGTTACACCAGATGTTAAGCACCGATTCAAGACGAAATCAATGTTGCTGGAGTGGAAAGATTGTAACATGGTCCAGCTGGCTAACTCAGAATTGAACGAAAAGGTTTCGGATTACACGCTATGCTATCTCGTGACTATCATGGCTCATAGTGCGATTGCACAACATCCAGTTGATGCCCTGAGCGATGCTCAGGCCGAAGTCTTAATACGGCAGTTGAGAGAAAGGATTGCCGGACCGTATGCTCAGAGAATAGAGGGCTACCGAAGAACTATGCCGCAGGTTCTCGCCCCAGCCGAAATCCAGTTCTGGATTCAGTCACGCGAACCTGATGGATCCTTCTTCAAGCCAATGGACCGCGGGTCAGCTCACATTAACCTTGATTACGGCGGTAGCGAACCTTACCCTAATAACGGCGGTAGCGCAACTAATTTGACTTGTGATGGATGGATCTAGCGACCACCGTCCGTCTTGATATTGAACGGCATCGGTACTGCACCCAGACCGCACAGCCCTTTCCGAGAAATTAAATTTGCGGATGAGGACGGCAAGAGCAACTGCCATCGGGTTCGGCTTCGAAAACCTGTTGGCTGTGCTCGTGGACAGTAAGGGTGACATATCTAGCACTGCTGGGTGCGAGATAGTCCACACTAAGTGCGCGGTTCTGGTCGGAGGGCGGCAAACGCTTTTGGATTTGTTAGCGGCCGTTCCTCCCGACGTGAAGCACCGGTTGGAGACGCAGTCTATGAAGTTGAACTTCGCGGAATGCACCATGATCCAACTGGCGAGGTCAGCACTGAATGAAAAGGTCCCTGCTTCCGCCCTGTGTGACTCCCTTAGTGCCTTGGCTAATTGGGCGACTGAGCATCTTCCTGATAATCTCCATGCTCAAAGAGGAATCTTGGCGGCGCATTTGGTCCGGAGGATGGCGGGTCCCTTTGCACGGAAACTGCGAGACTACGGGCAAGCCTTTCCACAATCGATTTACTGGCCGAGAGCCGCTGCCAAGACCCAATTTTGGGTGCATACTTGCCACCCCAATCAGTCTTTCTTCCAGCACCCACCAAACGAAAGGGGAGAACTAAACGAGCACGCAACTATTGACCATGGACTCACTTTCGCTGGACCAACTCACCTTCGTCTTGAATACGGCGGCACCGAACCTGATATCGTTTGCGACGGATGGATTTGAACCCATCACCTTCTCCAGCCAAGTCCCTACGATAGTCCCTACTGTAGCAACACACAACAGTGGACTCGCGCTCGGTCATAACGTCTAGCTCGCGGGAAGCCGTTAGCTAGCCGGTGTATCTGGTATTGTTGGTTGTGAGCTTATTATCGCGAAAGATTTGTTCCAGATGCGTAAAGATTTTCGTTTCTTGCGCGACCGTCTTTATGAACACCAAAAACAGGACACACGTTTGGGACACAAGACAGCACAAGTTCGTGACACATCAGGTGGGGGTGGCTCAAGGCCAACAGAAAAGCGCCGTCTGAGGGACCATCAAGTCGTTCGCGGAAAAGTGCTTGGAGAAAGAGCATAATCTGACGTCAAAAAACAAGTCAAAGACAAAAAAAAAGAGCTAGTGGTCAAGTGAGCCCTATCCGCGTAAGACAAGGTCAGCCATTGAATCTAGGCCATGAAGCATCTGCTTCGTGGCGAAATTGGACAGTGGTTCTGATGCCTTCCACACACCGCATTCAGCCTCTGCCTCGGTCGGTCTGTGGGTGGGAGCCAAATTGTCCAGTGCGACTTCCGCCTTAGTCCACGCGTTCGGGTCCACAACGTTCTGTGGAAGAGCGGGACTGTAAAACGGAATGCTGCAAGTTTTGATGTGCTCAGTCTTATTGAATGGATACCTGATGAGTTTGCGCAAGACGAACTTTGACTCCTTCGGTATCCTGTTCTCTGTGCGTAAATGCGAACCGTACAACCACAATCTCATACCTTCTGCACCGTCATCGGAGTCGTCAGAGTCGTACTCCTCTTCTGGATCGAGTATGTAGTTGTCCACCGTGTTTTCTTCCTTCACGATTTCTTCCTTCACGATTTCTTCCTTCGCCTCGATCCACTTTTTTTTGGCCTTTTCATACTTCGAAACGCGGCGAACCAATCGTGCTCGCCACTCATCCAATCGTTTTTCACGCCTTTCTCGAGATAGGCGAGGGTATCCACGGCGGCCTCTATCAAACATAAAAACGCACTCGTCTTGCTCCACTTGGTAGTCAAAGCGGTCCAGCCAACGAATCAATCTTGCGTCATGTTTTGTGAACTGTTCACACATGACTTGGTCCAAGACAAACGCGCAATCACGAACCGTTTTTAACACGTGGAAACAAAAGTCCGTCCCGGCATTGAATTCGGCGTGCAACTCTTTCAGGGCTTCATCCGACAAGTCATCGTGCACCTCATTCTCCAACCCAACTACTACATCCGGCATGTCCTCAAACAATCGACAGGCATCCACCAACAGTCTACCAAGATTGCCATCAACTGGCAACGACTGAAAGGCCTGCACAAAATCCACGCGCTTGTCGTTCACTCCAAAAGTCATTATGACTCTGCCCAGCATGGCCCACCCACGGCTCAAGCCCTCAGCGCTGCGAGGACCCTCAACACCCAGCAAGCACTTCATTAAAAAATACCCCCAAAAAGAATTTTCTTTTTTGCCGACACGTTAATAAAGAAAATCGCGCGTTCCGACTGGCTGCTTGTGTGAGAGCGCGGCGGACATCATGGCGTCACTAAGACTTACAGGAACATGTATGAATTGTTCTGACAACCACGGTCCAAGGAGTTTGTACGGCAATCTCATCATCCAAAAGTGCGCCATCTGTGCCTAGTATTCTAAGAACAACATCATCGCGCATAAACCGTCCGACTGACTCGATAGTTCTGCGCGATTTGTTCATGCACCGAAAACGGTTAATCAAAAAAATGCGGATGCGAAGCCACTCCGTGTACCTGCCCCGAAAGATGAGAGGCTGTGATCACAGTGAGCCGGCAAAGACGCTGTGATCCAGATGCGTTGGCCAAGGGAACGAGCCCGGATTTTTTGTTGAAGGCCGTCGTCAAGGGGGTCGAGTTGGAATTCAATAAGGATACAGGCATGTGTATTTTGAGAAGGGATGACTGTGAGAAGGCAGGGGTCGCGTTGTCACCGGTGACTGAGGAGATAGTCACGGTGATTGGTACGGATCGCCTGCCGGTGACGAAACACGCGGAGGTTGAGATCAATGGCCGGAAGAAGGCAGTGCGTTTCGTCGTACATGATCAACCCCAGATCCCCAACCTCTTAGGGGCGGGAGAGATGGCGCATTTCCTAGCGCCAGGGGGAGTTGGGGCCAAGGCATTGATTCTGGCTGCCAAGCGCAGAGAAGTGGACAGATTGAGGCTAGCCGGAAAGCCCGAAGCTAGAGGAAGCTGTAAAACGCAACTTCGACAAACAGGAGCGCCTCTTTGAGGAAGAGACGGGGCACATGGGTGGCACACTACGCACAAAGTTGTGGAGGGGAGTCGCGTTAAGGTGGCGCAGGTCTGGGATCACTTAAGGACTGCGGCGGGCCATCGTATTTGCTGTACGCTTGACATGTCGTCGGGTTTCTGGAATGTACCCATCGGTGAGGTAAGCATCTTACTGCGTTCGTCACGTCATTTGGGCTTTTTGAGTTTAATGTGATACCTTTCGGGATTAAGAACCCACCGGCGGAATTTCAGCGCGCTATGGACGCGTCTTTTGAGGAGGTGCTGGGCAGTAGCACGCTCTGTTACGCGATATTGTCGTAGCGATGGACGGCGAAGCCGGGATGCTAGACAGGATAGAAAAGATCTTGTGGTTGTGCAGGGCGAACGGATTTTACCCGAGACTCGATGAGAGTGAATGGTTTAAGAGCGAGGTGAGGTATCTGGGACACGTCACTGTCAAGGACGGCAAGAGGTGTCAGGCGAAGGAGATCGATGCTCTTAAGAACGCTGCGGCCTGTAGCGACAAGCGCAGCTTGCAGAGTTTCCTTGGGCTAGTTGGTTGCTTGAGGCCTTTCATCCGGAGATTTGCCGAATATACGGCGCCTTTGTTTAACCTGCTGAAGAAGGGGACGGTGTTTGATTGGGGGCCTAGACAAGCTGATGCCTTCAAGGCTCAGAAGGAGGCAGTAGTCGAGGCCGCGTTACTATACACACCAGAGCCTGGCCAGCCCTATACCATTGAGACGGATGCGTCGGTGTTGGGGATTGGCGCAGTCTGAAGCAGAGCCAAGGGGGACGTGAGGTGCCTCTGGAGTTTGCGTCCAAGAAGTTTACCGCTGCCGAATGTAAGTGGACACCCGTGAAAGAGAGCTCTTTGCTGGTCGAGTGGGCTATAGACAAGTGGGCTGACTACGTCGCTCTTTCTCATTTCTCTGCTACCTGACGGTGGTGGACAAAGGGAAAGTGTTTCGGTGGGCCTGGCTGATTGTTGCGCCACGCCGCACGAGACGAGACGATGACTCGCGTGTGGAACAGATGGCCCTTGGGGGCGCGGTGGTTGCACATGTAGGGGCACTAGTTCTCGCGAACCGGCCGAAACTTCGTGGCGGCGTACAAGTCAATGCCCCCGGAGTGGATCGTAGGGGTTCGGAAGGACGGCAAGTGGTGTCGACATACGGCCTCAGGAAGGTGTATGTGCCTGAGTCACTGCGTACCAGAGTTATCGTGTTGTTTAACTCTGGGTCGAGCGGTCACATGGGCGGGTTCAAGACCAGGAAACGAGTGATGGGCCTATACTACTGGCCGGGCTTGGCTGCGGACGTAGCACAGACGGTTAAGGACTGCCTCGTGTGTGCACGCGAACGCCGTCGAGCTCCGATTACCTGTCCCATGCCGGGAGGCAACCTCGATGCTGCCGTTGTTTTGGATTTGGTGTCGTTGGACCACGTTGGACCTCTCAATCTCGGTGGTCAGAACTGGTGGGTACTGATGGCTGTGGATCCCGAGCCTAGTGGCAACACGGCAGACGGTCAAGATATTCTACCGAGGCTGGGTGGTGCCTTTCGGAATTCCACGCATCGTACTTTCAGACCGCAGGGGAATGGCATAAACGGAGCTTCTCACCAGGCGCTCCGATCCGGGCTCTGCGCGCTTTGGCAGGAAGGGCAAAGGAATCTATGGTAGCTGCGGTAGAAGTTGGCCGGGACGCCCCACGAGGAGACGCGGCAGCGAAACCGGGCGGCCCGTTGGGGACACCGTAGTCGTGACAATGGAGCCAGGGTTGCAGGCAGGAGCGCGAGGAGGACCATTAGCTCCCACGTGGGTCCCGGCTAGATGGTCGTTACCCATGCGGATTACGGAGGTTGCACGAACGCAGGTCAGCGCCGAGAGGTGCGACGCCCCTGGCAGGACGGTCCGGCGCACAAGGACCAGGCACGGAGGTTCGCGGTGAGCAAGGACCCGCTGCATCGCTGGCTCACGGAACAGTACGTGGAGGATCAGAGAAACCTGGAGTTGGACAAGGAAGACAGTCGCAAACGACAACGGCAGGGTGCCACTCCAGACGAGGAGTGACGCATCTTTAGTGGACTTCTGCCTCCCTTCACTTGCGGGGGCGTGCTGAGCCGGCAAAGACGCAAACGGCTCGCCTCGCTATAAACACACATTGACCGAAAGCCAACAATTCACCATAAGAAAGCTACTAACCAACAAGGTTAAAGATACCGATATACTTACAATCAAAGCGTTAACTACAAAACCACAAAAGACCTTCTCCGCATCTTCCGGAGAACCTCTGAAACTATACCTAGGCTCCTCCAACACAGTCGCAGGACTGATACTAAACAAGCTGATAACCGCATCGATTCCGCTACCCGCTATGCTAACTCCAATGAAGCCCAAGGGGCTTATATGCTCATCAAGAATACCTTAGCCAAATCAAAGACCACACCAGAACTGCTAAATCCCAATTTCAGATGCTGGCCGACACCCTTCAGAACGTTCCGATCTACCAGAACCTGCGACTACAGAACATGCTCCTAAGAATTGGACTGGAGTTGTCGTCTGAGGAAATAAAAAATCCGGCTACAAGAAGAGACTATCGAGGCAACGTGATTTATTCATGGGCGGCTCCGTGGCAAGGGGCCCATTGTAAAACGTCAGCTTGATGTCATGTAAAGCATCGTTAAAACTTCTGTGTTGTAATCTCCTGCATCGAAAATCGCACTGTGTCACGTTGTACCCTGGTCTCTTAAATACGCTATAATACCGTAGCAGATCTTCCGCGTAGGTATTGACGTGATTGATCTTTCCCCATCGAATTGACTTGCCCGATGGAGTCGTGACATCGGCCCAAAATGTCGCCTCAGGGCAATAACAATCTGGCCCTGAAATGCGCGGCTCACAGGGGTATCCGTAATATTGACGACAGCGGTTCATTTCACCGTCGTCCAATCCGGGATATGCCAGCCCTACGTTGTGTATGTGTCGTTCACTACTCCGGAAGGGGTCTTCGCCAATCGACTCTATTGTCACCCATCCG